CCTCCCACTAGTGTCATCAAATCATAATCTCCGCTCCGCTTTTGTCTTGCCCTCCAGTTGAATGGGAAGATGGAGATGGATGTTGAGGGAGTTTCTCCGCGCCCGGAGCCCATCCCCCGCTCCCAGGGGGCTGGCGGAGCCTGCCAGGCGCCGCCACCGCGGACCCAGCCCCAGCCGCAGCGAGAACAGCAGCTGGCTCAGGATGAACTGCCCGGCGAGAGTGCAGGCGCTGAGGACAGCGAAGATCCCGAGACGAGACCCAGCGGCGAGAAAGGCGAGAGCAAGGTAGGTCCACGGTGTCGCCGCTGTGACATCTTTTGAACAAAACCAAGGAGCTCTTGTAGTGGCTGTCCCTTTAACCCTTCCGCTGCTCCCCTAACCCCCTTACCTCGCTCGCGTGGGGGCGGGGGTGACAGATGTGGAGGTGGCGTGGGATGAAAGGTAATCCACGGGCGATAGGACAGTGACTTTCCCAACTGGAAGGCGTGTGCAGAAGTCTGTCCTGGTTTCGGTGTTCAGTGATGTGTGCACAGAAAAGTCTTCTGGTACATGCGGTGTGGTGCTTAGGACAGAGCAGGGCACCTCCGGGAGCAGGGAGCAGTGTGGAGACCTTTGCTTGCCCTCACGGTTGAATTGAGGCGTACTGGATGGTACAGGTCTCGAGAAAACACATCTTCGGGAGCTGTCAAGTGGCTCCAGAGACTCCTGGAACCAGGCGACATCAACCTGAAGATGACAATGGGAGCAAAGTTTGGCTCATTTGCAGAATGGAGAACATTGCTTAGCCCAGCTCTAGGCTGGATGTTCTCCTCATCTGATGTCCTGTCACTTAGGACAGCAGGGACCAGGAGCCTGGCAGCAGGTGAACCCCACAGATCCTTTGCAGCCCTGCTGTGTCATTGTAGACTAGAGGACAGCTGCTACTTACTGGGCAGAGAGGAGTTCTTCAGGTAATTGAATTCCAGTAAGAAATCGCTCAAATGCCATTCTCTGATGTTAATGTTTCTTCTGCTGAGGAAATGGAAGAGGAAGTGGCCTAGAAAATAATGCCTTGGTAATATTAATAGGGTGTATTTATTACAGCTCTGTCTGAGCCTTCTGTCTCCATAGGTACTTGGAGTTCAGTTTTGTGGAAGCTGGTGGTGTTTAGTGGTATCTGTGTAAAGTGTACACGTGTATTTGTTAATGCATTTTGAAACTGGCTGCTAATATCGGGGGAAAGTGGTTCAACAAATCGGAATATTGGAATCAACGAAGAGCCAGTCAATCTACTTTTCACTTTTGCTCATGTAAGGAAGTGTATGGGAAAAGAGGCACTTCTGGTGGTTAGAAGCACCTCTCGAGGCTCTCCTCCTTGGAGATTGCTTCGATTTCTGCTGGACCTTTCCTAAAATACAAGTAGATTAAACAAATACCCCAAACATGTCAAGATTACATCGAGTGTTCTCTTCTGTTTGGAGACAACTCACCAAGTTTGGATTTGCAAATGTTCAAATTGCTTTGCATTTTGAGATTGAGCTAAGAATCAAGGTCGTTGTTTATCTACCAAAATCAATATTGTTATTTAAATGGCAGCCTACCGAGGAACTGGATTTGGAACATGCTTAGTCCTTACAAATGCGTACAAGATTTACATTGTGAAAACTGTGATGAATTTTAATATTCTGATACCCTCAGTTTTCCAGTTGCTCCTGATTTCATGAATATTTAGTTCTGTCATGACTGCATATTTACTACTTTAAATGACTGCTTTAGTTTTATGAAATAACCAAAGCTGAACATCGTGTTGCCTAACTGAACTTTAAGTCTTTTGCAAAAATAGGTATGGAGAATAATTAAAATATAAAGCCAGTGCTGCCATTTCCATACTGTTGCTTCATATACCCTGAGCTTGAGAAATTCCTGCCATCAGCAAAAATCTGTGCTTATTTGTTTCTCTTTGCTGCACTGTGCAGACTGTCTAATGTTCTCCCGGTTGTGGGGCATAAGAAAGGCGATGCACTAGAAATATTACAGCCGGTGAAGAGAGGACTGAAAGCAGGTTGATTACATTTAGTTAATTAGCATGTTCAGATAATTGAGTATTCCAATGATGTGATTTGCTTCATGTTTGTCTGCAATTTCTGGAAATGGAAACAAAATACTACTTTTCTCTCTCCAGGTGTTTGCCTTAAAAATTATGTTACATCCTTCTCTTAACCTAGAAATCAGCTGTTATTAACCCTTGCTTGTCTTTGGTACTCTCCTAATGGTTCTCCAGAGTTTGAGGATGTTTAAGTTTCAGACCTTTGTAACTTATTTTATTTTTGATTGAACTAAGTTGTAAATTGATTTTCCTTAGCAAATCCTGGCTTCATTAGTGGGGAGACCTTTGGGTGCTTGACCAACTTATTCTACTAAGTTATTAATGGAAGACAAACTTGGATAAAGTGGAATCTTGTTCTACCAGGCTTTTTATGTGAGATGGGTAGATTAGAACAGTAAAGTTTAAAGGCAGAAAGTAAAAATATATATTACACTATTATATTTCTCATAGTTAATAATAAAATATGAATTTGAAAATGGAATTATTTATCTTAAATCTTTCACCATATAAGAGTAGCATAAATAGGATGTGAACGGACATGCTTCTTGAAAAATAGTGTCGGAGGAGTAGTGGCATTATTATTATTGTTGTTATTTTTTAGGATTCTTGTTTGGGGCCCTGATTTATTTTCTCCAATGTTTATCTCAGTTGTTCTATTGGGAAAAAAAAAAATGGCGATTAGTGCCAGGTCAGCTTGTCTTTTAAATTGCAGGTTCATGGTAATATGTCCTCTGAAAGGCTCTGAAATAGGAAGAGGTTAGAAAACTGGATCAGACAAGGGATCTTTTTTTGCACCAGTTTCATGATGTGACTGATGCTTTCTATTCTAGAATAGTGATGCCCAATTCCTCTCTAGCACCTACTCTTCAAAGAAATGTTCCAGCAACTACATATTGTACATGCTTTGATTCCATGAGGTAGAAAAGACCCTAAATCAATCATCAATTCCTTCTCTGTTCTTTTTCATTAAACCTTTATAAAAAGCAGTCTTTTTGTAGTCATCTAAAGACAAAATGGTAATAACCTTTGGCAATCTCCTGGGATATTTTATCACCTGTTATTTCAAGATCTTCTTTATATCTAAGAAGAGATTGTGAACTGGACAAATCTTTCTATGTAGTCCTAGGAATGAAAATTAAAAATAATCACTGTCCTTAAATAAGACTCTCAAAGCTTTGATGATGTTCTTGATTATGGATCTAGTCACCCTTAAAACTTTCTTACTAACTTTTCTGCAGGCTCTGAACATTCCTTTAGTGATCTTGAAAACTCTTCTGTAATGCTTTGTTTATACTGAATAACTTTTGTATGGGTGTTTCTAAAACTGCTTTTGGGGCAGTTTTGTTTGTTTGTTTGTTTTTCTTTTCCTATTGAGGAATGCTGTGGTATCTTATATTCTCTATGTTGTCAAGTCACCTCAACAAAAGTGCAAATTCTCCTACTGAACCTAAATGTCTATTTCAGCTTCATCTTATTCTTACATTTTCCGTTTTTCTTCCTTACCCTCTACATTTTTTTCTTCTTCCTCCTCTCACCCCATACACCATTTACCACTGTTTTGTATTGTCTGTTATAACCCATATGTGAAGTGTCATGGTCAAACTTCTTTTACATGCAGCTTTCAGTAAAGCTTTGGTTTGCAAGTCATGTTGTTCTTCCTGTGACTTTGAACTGGAAGACTTTATGCTGTTGCTACCAATAATAATTCATTGATGAAAAGATCCAAATTCAAGGGCATTCCATCAGTAATGCTGCCTTAAATATTCAGTTTATTATATTTTTAGAAGCCTTTCATTTTGAAATAAATTTAGATTTAGGGTGCAATTGTGAAAGTAAGACAGAGTTTTGCATACCTTTACCAGACTTTTTCTGTGCTGATATCTTATCTAGTCAAGGTTTGCATATTACAATGAAGACATTAACCTTCTGCAATACTATTAGCTAAACTTGTCCAGTAAATTTTTGTTGAGTGAATGTATAGCATATCAATGTTTTCCATTCTATTCCTGTAATATTAAATAAGGCCTTTTTGGAAAGCTCCCTGAGAGTGCATTTAAGGGTCAAATTGAACTTCCTAGTAACTACTTTAATTGCTCTTTCTGGTGAGTAAGAGCAGCTTACAAAGCGCAAGTCTTGAGATCCCTGAAACTCTGCATCTATAGCGGTGAGCCTAATGGAAGTTAGGAGTTTGGCAAAGCTCAGGTGACCTACTGAATTATAGAAAGTGATAGTCTTTTTTGACCTGAAAAATATTCCTGCTTAAGGTAAGATAGGGTTTGTCAGTATGCAGATGACAGCAAAATCTCAAGTGGCAAGGAGAGGAGAAAAGGCAATTGATAAATCAAGTCAGTTTACCTAGATGCCAAACCCATTGGGTGATTGTTCCTGGCATGAAGAATAATGGAAGCCCTTTCATTTTTGTATTATTAACCAGGTGGTCTTTGACTTCTCTCCCAGAAGCAGAAACTGGCTGGCATTAAGCACAATGTAAAAGTAATTAAGAGTGTTGGCTGAAGTCAGAAACATCTGAGTTTGATTTTGGCTCTTTCATCCACTCTTAACTGTATGCAGTTTTCTAAACCTAAATTTTCTCATCTATTTAGGTGGGTATATTGATAGTGCTAACCATCTTTGATTATTGTATGTTTTAAATGAGATAAAAATGTTTTAGATCCAATGTTTCATACGAAATGGCAACCCCAACATTGTTAATCATAAAAACCTGGTTATTATCACTGCACCTGGAGTCCAAGGTTCTGAAAAGGAGCATGAAGTTGGACTCTTTAAGTTCGAGAGGTTTCAGCCTCCCAGATCATCTCAGAACTTAGACGTGACATAGGAGCACCATTCTACAGTCGAGCCATGTTGGTCCTCGCTGACCTGACTTTGGTCTGTAAGCCTTAGAAAAGAATTACACCATCAATGCACTGCTCTCCTTTCACCTGGAAAGCCAGGAAGGGCCAGGGTGGAAAGTTCCTCCAGCCGTCGCAGGTTGGGGGGATATATGGAAGATGCTAATGAAGCAGATGGATTGTTGTCCTCTTTTATATTATACGTTTGGCTTCTTGGGAGGAAGAGATAAGTTTTAAGATGTAAGAAAATAATTGTACTAAAAATTTCTATCTGTTAGGGCTCTTTTGTTGCAGGCAAGAGAAATAGGCTCTAATTTCAGTAAAAGAAGTATTTTGTTGTAAGGTTGCAAGGTAATACAAAATCAAAGGAAAATAATAAAACTGGGGTCGTGAAAGGCTGAAGCTCAGGTAGCTCAAATAAACTAAATAGTAGGAAATCATGAAGTCTCTCGTGAGCACTGACGTGGAGATCTTTTGCAAATAGGAAAGGGACTAAGAGAGGGAGAGAGAGGAGAGGGAGAGAGGGGAAGGAAATGTGAAAAAGGATTAAGATGTGTTATGTGCATGTACCAATACACCGTGATAAGTGTAACCATTATGTACTGCCAACATGAAATAATAACAATTAAAATTAAAGAATAAATTCTAACCATTTCTGCCTTCATGCTACTCTGCTCAAGACCCCCATTTCATGCAAAGGTTTTCTAATTGGTCTCACTTGGACCACATACATCATTCTAGGCCAGGGCATTCTCACTGAAGTTTCTGGCTGGCAAATTGTATTCTTTGGAAGGGTTATATAGCTCCTGGAAAAATATCAGGGTGCTGTTATCAGGTCAAAGAAAATGGATATTGGTGGTCTCTAAGTATCAGTACTTGTCTGCTAAATGAGGAGGAGCCAGAGAAAGCAAAGAAAGACAAAGTTAGACAAGAATATGGAACACTCAACAGCATTGTATTTCCAACCATTTTAAAAGATAGAATACAGAGAAAATTATGGGATCTGTTGCCT